TAAAAATATATTTTTAGAAAAGTTACATACTGCACCTTTAAAGACTTTTAAATCATTTTTTACATTTAAATCATTCAGTCTATAGAAAGGGAAACTGCAATGCTTTGGTCTGAAATCCTCCTTTTTGTAACTCCACAAGCCCCTCTTTCACCACCTTTCTGAGGTGTGTCTCAGTTGTTTTAACTTTTATTGTAATTTACTTTCATTCTGAACACATTTTGGGTATTTTCAGATATAAGATTTATTCTTCTGCTGCCTTTCATTTTATTTTATTTGCATGTTTTTTTTTGTTCTTTGTTGTGTATATAATTGTTACAAATAAAATGAATAAATTTCTAATAACAAAAATAATAAAAACTCATTTTGAGGCTGTCTCTTTAAACTCATACAAGGTGCTTTACACACCACCTCCCCTCCAGCTTTCAAACCGGTTCATTCCAGTTTGATAGGGGAGTTTACAATTATTTAATGGCGCAGAAATATTTTATTTACAAATTAACTAAAAGATGTCAACAACAGAAGACTTCTTTTCTATTACCTCATATTATTTGCGACGGACCTGATCCGTCGTAAATAATATGAGGTAATAGAAAAGAACAGAAAACCAAACGGGTTGAAAAATATGCCCCAAACAGAATAAAGATATCTTTGCAGCACGGGGAAAAACTATTCTGCACTCCTACAGACTCTAAGTCCACAACAAAATGTATTTAACAGCTAAAAAAAGAGGATTTTTCATGAGACGTTCCCTTTGATTTGATTTTATTACGTTTTAAACAACACACAGCAAAGTGCAACTTGTCACTATTTTCAGACAAATATAAAAACAAAACCTAATGAAGATGTGTRGAAGTAGATTATTATTATATTATTAGGCTCTGATGTCAGACTTACCCAGTATGTTGTCATGTCGGAGCAGCACCGTGTTGTAGATCTCCGTCTCTCTAAACCAGGACTTCTCATCTCTGGAAGAGAAGATTTTCACCGCCACGTTCTCCCCCTGCCACTGACCTCGCCACACCTCTCCATACCGCCCTTTACCTGGAAGAAAATGATTGAAATAAGTGGATGACTTGTGTTCTGGTAGTTAGTCTGACCTCTTATCAACAAACAGCTCTCTGATTGCAGTCATGCTGCAAATATGCAAAGAACGAGACACAAACAGGAACTGGAAACTAAGACTGCAGACAAAATGACAGTTTTTTTTCCCTCTCAGTCTTATGGTTCTTAAGAATAAATAACTGCTTGTGTTTAAAAGAAATAAATGACCTGAGCGTGGCACTTACCTACACACTCCATCAGACTGATCTGCCGGGCCACGGTTCTCTGGACGAGGAAAGGAAGACCTGAACCGCTGCCTGAGGTACAGGAGTGATCCAACAGGTCCTGGAGACAAAACCAGACTTCATGTTAGCTGTGTGTTTGAGTACTGTAAGTAACGAGCACAGGAACGGTGGCAGAAGATATTATAAGCGTATTAATTAAAAACCGAGGAATCGGAAATAAGTAGAAGCACGTGAGAGTTTGCAAAATATGAGCAGATGCTGGTAGTTTGTTGTTTTAACCAGTAAAGACATTTGAGATTTAAAATTTCTTACAAGAGGCCAAATCTGCTCTAAAGCATCAGAAACATTACGGTTTTTGCACAACAGACATTTGATAACTATAAAATAGCAGTTTTATTGTTAGATTCAACACACCCAGCACGGTTTGGCAATATTGACAAAAAAAAAAAGGAATCATAATTAATTGTGGTATTTAGTCAATAACGATTAATGATGATTAATCCCCTGGCAGGGCTCTAGACCAGGGGTCACCAATACGGTGCCCGTGGGCACCAGGTCGCCAGCAGGACACGTTCTAAAAATAGCACTGATCGAATGATCAGTGAAGCAGCGCTCTAATTTAAATATTAAAAAAGGAACCAAAGTCACC